CCCCCCCCCCCCCCCCGATTCTATAATTCTTAAGGCTCCTGAATAATCACAGCTATATTAAATCGTAATGTCAGAAGCAAGAAAAAGACATGTTAATTTTTATTATGCCATTTGTAAATAAAGACAATTTAGATAAAACAAAATAATATGAGATCGCTATTTAAAATAAAAATGAACGAAATCTATTCTTATTCTCCCTATTATTATCCCTATTCAGTAAATAATCATAAAAAGTGATTCATAAAAAGTGATCATTTTTTACAATTATTTACTGACTGTCAGGGAGATAAGCATAGTTTTATCTATTTTTACAAATGTTTTAAAGCTCATTATTTTGTTTTATCTAAATTGTGTTTATTTACAAATGGTGCGTAACAAATATTAATGTATTACTTCTCTCTTTTGACATCACGATTTAATATGATTGTAGTGATTATTCAGGAATCTTAACGATAGTTGCATGGCGACACATTTTCGGAAACAAACTGGAATGTCTGGCCTACAGTTCAGACCTACTTGTCGCCATGTAATTTTCATATCTTTAAAGATTTGAAGAAGAATCTCAAAGGAAGAAAAATACCGTCGGATGCAGCAGCAGATGAATGCAGGAGGCTGTTTGAGTTCAATTCCAGCCCAAGGAATTTTATGTATATGAATATAGCATCCGTTGTCTGGTTTCACATGAAAGAAAAATCTTATCAATTATGATAATTATTAACATGTTAATTAATTTCAATGTCTAAATTTTTTATCTGCATTTTATTTGAACCTACATACAAAGATAGAAAAAAGAGAAAAGAGAGGGAGAAGGAAAAAAGTGAACTTATTATAAAATACTTACCGATATGTAAAAGGATTATAATTATAAAATTTATTATAATGTAGGCCTAAAAATCAGAATACATGATCTCTTGCGGTTTCTCAAATTTAATAGGCCGATAGAATGTGAATGATTGATTCCATCCACGAGGTGCTGTATTATAATTTGTCAGGTTATGAAGATTGGCTAATTTCGGTCCAGTATAATTGTCATTCTCGTACAATTTGTTCTCTGGAAATTAAAACTTTAAATAATAAATCTGCAAATATATAAACATTATAAGAAGAACATAATGAAAGATTACTAACTGAAATAACTTTAATAAATTTAACTTTTGTACATCAAAGACTGCGAAAGTGATATCTTAATTATGTTCTTATTGTTACAAATAAATACAAGTAATATTTAAAAATATAATATCAAAAATCGTAAAATTATATCGATTTAAATTAAGTATATTTTAAGATATTTTAATTAACTTTGTTTAACATTATGATACCGGAAAAATAATAACGTTTTTATTAAAAGGCTATATTTTAAATAAAAAGAAAATATTTCTCACACAAATAATTATGGACAAATTAAAAAAAAAATTTATTTTTGTATATTTATATGATTTTTTTATACAATACACGAGAAATTTCATGTATTGGATATAATTCAATTGTATAATTCAATTGTTGGATATAATTCAATTAATTTTTGTTAATTCGTTTGTTATTTAGCGCTACGTAAGGATTAAGAATAATGCAGTAAAGATTGTTTTGTATATTTAGTATGCGAAAGCAATAATATCGGAACTACAAAAGCACATGCATATTAACTTGCCTAATTCTGGGTTAACGTCAATGAGTTTGCATTCTGGCGTAGTGGTGCCTAAAAGATTATCCAAGACTGGCGTGTTACGCAAATGTTTCTTAGTTTCGAGTATATTTTCCTGCGAGGTGACCATCGAAAGTATTAATGACTTTGCTTCGGGAAGCATTTCAGCCTCAGTATTGACGAATCTCGTGGCCGTGTCGTTGGCATAAAGGGCTTCCAATTCCTGTGAGGTAGTCGAATGACGTCGAGTACCCATATACTCGTCCTCGAATGCGAATGAATACTCGCTGCTGTCGCAGCAGTTCAATAAAGCAGACGGTGCTGAATTGCCACGATCTATAAATCCCAAGTTCTGATAATCTTCGGAGTCAGTGTCATCCGTGGTATATTCACTCTCGTCAGTGGAAACGTAGCCATTGTATCGAGACTGTAATTTCGTTGATCCTTCGTAAGTTTCGCGTGCTTTACATAATTGACCATTGTATTGGGACTGCAGCTTTCTTTCGTAGTTTCCACGTGTGTCATACATTCGGTTATTGCATTGAGACTGCAATGTCGCAGATCCTTCATAGTTTCCGTGTGAACTATATAATTGATCAAAAAATGAATTCTCAATTTTATTTCGTTTAATTATACTCTCCACTTATCTAAAGAGAGATACTATGTGCAATCACTATGTGACTGCAATTGGCAACAAATATATATGTATAAGCGAAAGATAAATTGTAGACTTCGTAGAACCTCATTGAACTATGCACTATTATGAACGATATTATAAATAACATCTTGTATTTATTATTTACAATTAAAATAGCAGATTAAAATATGCATCGTTAAAAAATACGTATAACGCGTCATCAAATACGAAATGTAGCGCGTCATAAAATCAAATAAATTTAAGTTTTTTCACGTCAATAGATATTAATTTAAATAATTCTATAAATCGGAAAAACAAAACGTTATCGTTAAGAAACAAAATATTAAAAATAAAATATTAATTAAAAATAGAAAACTTGTTTGTTATATTATTTATATTCAAAAAATCCATAAATTCTCACCGTACGTATCTCTTCTCCTCATTATTATGATTGACAGGATTTTTCGTCTCGAAGAAACGTGCTATGCCATTATCCAACGGGCACTGCTGTACGATTGGAATAATCTTTGGACTAATCTGCTTATATTGTAGAACTGGTCTACAAGTTTTCTCGAATTCTTGAATTAGTTGCTTCACTGGCACAGGAGTGTATCCATTTTCCTCGTTGTCATTCTGCATCTGTCTGTCGTTGTGTTGCTTATTCCCGAGCTTATTATCAATCATATTATCGTTGAACTTGTTATCGAAACGCTGTTGAATCCTTGTGTCTTTGCCATTGTAACTTCGCATGTTGCAAACGTCAGATTTTCTCGGTGATTGATAATTGTTGTTAATATATGTATTATTGTTACTTGCGACATATTTATTGGCCATGTTAGTGCGTCGATTGTTAGTAGAATCGAAAATGATACGATGGGATTTTTCGACGATGGGCGATCGACAATAATCAGGAGAAAAATCGGAATCTGTGCCCACCGCAATTTCTCGAAGATAAATCTTTTTTATCTCGCTCGAATGGCCGCATCGGTTAGCATTACAGTGTTTGTCTGCAACTCGCAAATTAAAATTGATACAGCACAGCATAGCAATTGCAAAAAGCTTTGTTATAGGATTTAGCCTAAAATATCTTCTCCAGAAATTAGAAGAAGAATAAACTTGAAAAGCTTGAAAATTA